AAAAAAAAGAAACTGCAAAATTCAAGAGAAGGAATGCATATAGGTCTCAAAAACTATGAAATTGAGAACTAGAACAAAGTGAAGACTGTTACTTCTGTCTCTCCATACCTCCCTCTGTACCTCTCTAGTCAACTGGATGTATGTCCAACACACATATACACATCCTGTTCTGTTTCTCTAAGGAACCATGAAAAATAGACCTATTTTAGGAAGAATGAAGAAAAAGCAAGGTGGGGGTGTGGAAGGGAGATTAATTTACTTTAAGAAATTGGTTCACATGATTGCGGAGACTTGACAAGTTCAAAATATGCAGAGTAGTCCATAAGGCTGGAAACCCTGGGTAAGAGTTGCACTTGGAGTCTGAAGGAAGACTGCTGGCAGAGATCCCTTTCCTACAAGGTCAGTCTTTTTCTATTAAGCCTTCAACTGATTGGATGAGGCCCACCCATATTTTGGAGGGTAATTTGCTTTATTCAAAGTCTACTGACTTAGAGGGATTCTCTGGTGGCTCGGATGGTAAAGAGACTGCCTGCAATGTGGGAGACCCGGGTTTGATCCCTGGGTCAGGAACATCCCCTGGAGAAGGAAATGGCAACCCACTCCAGTCCTCTTGCCTGGAAAATCCCACTGACAGAGGAGCCTGGCAGGCTACAGTTCATGAGGTTGCAAAGATTCATACACCACTAAATGACTTCACTTTCTTTCACTGACTTAAATATTAATTTCATCTAAAAATACTTTCACAGAAATATCTAGAATAGCGTTTGACCAAATATTGGGTTAACATGGCTAGCCAAGTTTACACACTAAATTAACCATTGCAGTAGGAAAAGTAAGGAAGGAAAGGGATGAACTACTCCTCTTAATTCTGGTTTCAAAATTCTTTGAGAAAATACTCTGGTTTGTCCTGTTGTGTGCAGTGCCCACCACCGGGCCAAATAATTTTAAGCAGGGGGTGATATCTGGTAAAAGGACTATAATTAGTCCGGCTCACATGAAGTGCCCATCATGAACCAATACATTATGGCTTGAGAGGAGGTGGGGTTATTTTGTACAAAATAGTTGTCAAATACAAAACGAGGTGTCTCATAAATGGGAAAGTCATTAATTAGTACCTTATAAAGGTACTTTTAATATGTCAGCATGTTTTTCGATGGAGAAACCTCGAATTTCTGTCTTTCAAGGATTTTCATGTGATTTTAACTATGGCTAATTCATTTTCTATCATGTTGTAAACAAGCTCTTATGGAGAAATAATGGTTTTCACTCCATTTATGTATCTAAAATTGATTTCATCTACTTTTCTCTGCATATCTTCTAGCTTCAACAACTACTTCATCTATGGACAGAAAGCAGAGCACTGTAACACTTCCTACAGAAGGTAGTATGCTTTTCTCTTTTTTTGAGGCCAATACTGAAGCATGAAATGTTGAGCTTACTTAGAAACAGAGTCAGTGGTCTGGACTGAGTGCCAGCTTTGTGCCCAGTTGAAGAAAATGGTGATCTGAACGCTGTAGGATAAGGAACCTGAATGTCCTCCCCTAAAGCAGTTCAATTCCACTGGAAGACTATGGAGTGTTCTCTGTCAGGCACTGTGCTGGGCTTTGTGGGGAACATAAGAGTAACAAGACTATCAAAGAGCCCCAAGGGGGCCCAGTTTTGTGGGGGAACCCAGCCATCAGAAGCTCAGCTATCAGACAGACAGAGGAGGTAAGCACTCATAGCAAGTGTATCATATGTGTAGAAAGGGAGTGGTTAAGCACCAAGGCTTAGAAAAGGGTTCACAGAGCATATAGCAGTAAACTGGGTCTTAAAGAAAGGGTATTTAAATAGAAAAAAAGCAGTATATGACCACCTTAGAGAGTGAAAACAATGTGAGAAATGACAGAGAAATAGAATTGTACTTGGTGTTTTTTCTGGAGTGTGGAGGCAATGTGGTCAAATGTAAAGTGAGTCAATGTGAAAAAGAGGGTTTTCAAAGCCAATATGAAGCCATTTAAATTTGTCCTTTAGGCCATAAGTGATGTTTGGAGGGTTTTAGAGTTGAGGGAATGACATCTGTGTTGTAGAATGATATATTGGCTGCAGTGTAAGGTATGAACTGAAGGGAGAAGAGTTTTGAGACAGAGACAGAATTTAGGAGGCTTTTGCAACAATCTAGGTACATGGTGACAGGGACTTAATCTAGGGTATGGTAGTGAGAAAAGAAAGAGAATGCCCCAAAACCAATTGAAATCTGTGTGCACATTTATAGACAAGGGATGCAGAAAAGATGAGATATGACTGCTGATTTGGAAACAAAGATGAGACTCTATCCTCTACCTTCTCTGTGAAGTAGGAGGCAAAATCACTGTAGCTGATCACAGGCATGCACAAAAAATATATTTGCAGATAGGAACCAAATCCATTGAGTGTGGGGTTGGCTCTGACCATTGTGTAAATTATCACAACAGGTACGAAAATGAAAGAAGAGAATGAAGAAAGAGTGAAATAACAGCAATACCACAAGAACTATCATTATACATGAAGGGTGATTGAAGTTCAGAGAATGGAAGATGAAAGGACATAAAATATCTGCCATACTTGGAATCTTCACTGTTAGAGTTACTTCTTTGGATATTGTGCCCCTGTTCAAGTGTGCTTATTTGACTGGCAAGTACATTCCCTTAAAAAAACAGAACTTGAGGATAAATACTAGCAAAAACATTAAACTTATACTGTTTACAAGGAAAGTTCAAACTCCTAAGAACACAAAGGAATATTCACACCTTGCTATCTCTTCAGTCTCTTTATCTTTCTGGTGTTATCTTCATCATCCTTCCCTTGTGTACAGACCTGTTTACCCACACCCACTCTAGTTGTTTTCCACAAAGTTTTAATACTTTATATATTTCACGTGATTCCTTATGTAATTAGAAAGTTCTTGCTTGTATCTACATCTTTGACAAGAGATTCCCTCTGGAAGGGAATACTGCTTGGAGTAATGGGAAGAATATGATTTAACCGCCACCACTCTGCTTTTTAAAATCCTCCATCTTCCTTCATTAGTTGTGTGATCTTTGTTTGGCTGTAAAATGCAAGGACTTGAGTACATCTCTGAAGAGGCAGGTGACACCAAAAGATGAGAAGGGAGATATTAAATGCAGAGTTTAGTACAGACAAGCTTCATCCATATAAGCTTCTTGCCCATTATAGCTGATTCTATTTATGAAGAAATAACTGACATGCACTTCTGTTAGAGGTGAATTGTAACAGACACACCTAATTAGCATATCTCACCAAACCCCTGCCAAGCACAGAAACATTATGTGAGTTTATGGGAAAGAGTGAGCTTTTAAGTTGGAAAATATCTGTAGGCTTGCAGGGCTGAATTTTTACTTTAAAAGATGGACAAAAGGAATCAATTTCTTTATTTAATTCTCATAATTACATTTAATGTCTGGAAATAAAATCTGCAAGCAAACTTCACAGTTGAATGGTCTGGTAGTATAATTGAATAGGAAAAAAGGAAGGAAGGAAAGAAGGAAGAACAAGAGGGAAGGAGTGAGGGAAGGAGGAAATAAGGAAGATCTGTTGATTTTACTGACTTTGGGATTCTCCAAATAAAAAATGTACTTAAAAAATTTCCAGCTTGTTTAAAAAATTCCCAGCTTGCTTAACCTGAATGCCATTCTACTTAATGCTTGTCTGAAGTGCTACTCTTAGGAATAGGCATTTAGTTCTGAGGTTACTGATTTATTCTCTCATCAAAACTTAGAAAGAGACAAAACATCACTTATTATTCCCTTTTCTATCCTGTAGAGTATGAATTACAAGATAAATCTGCTAGTCTCTATGAGCAAAAGATTGGATTTAGAACACTGTCTTTATCTTAGAGATTCTGTTTTCTCATCTGTTTGTTTTATAGACATCAAATCTCCTGAACTAATGTTATAACACTTGAAAAATTTTGCTGCATATATAATTCATGTTGCTTTCTTAATGATTCATAATACAGGATGAAGTTGGTTAATCTTTGGATAAGTTTAATACTTTATATATTCTCCAGGCAAGGATACTGTAGTGAGTTGTAATTTCCTTCTCCAGGGTTATATATATTTAGTGTAATTTCTTATGTAAGTTTAATATTTCTGGAATATGACCACCAGCAAAGTTCAAGTACAATGTCATGTAATATACTGTGAATTAATTTTAACACATGAAGTTCTATAAAGAGCTTTTCTCTTATTATTTTTGTGTTTGTGCCTGTGTGGGTGTCTAGTTAAAACTTCGTTATTGATACTAGCGGATGCAAAGGCTGTGCTCTATTGCCCTCCTGTGCTGTGGACAAATGTGCTGGCAGTAACATGGGAAATAGTCCTCAGAGACAAGCTGCCCTGCTTCAGAGCCTACAGACGTGATACAAATCAGACCATAGAAGAAAACTGTACTGACAAGAGAATAACCTGGGCCTCCAGATCTGATGAGAATCCTGCCGTTCAGGTTGATCCAGTGGCCATCACTCACGATGGGAATTACACGTGTCAAATAATAACAAATGATGGGAATTTCCATCATGGCTACCACTTCCAAGTGTTAGGTTAGGAACATCATATATTTTGGTATTTCCAATTACCAGATTTGGGACGGAAACAAATCTCTCAATTCTGTGCCCCAGGTTTTAAGATTGAAGCATTTCCCCTACATTTCTGCAGTGCCCCCTGAAGTGACCCTTGATCAAACTGAGAATGGAACTGCAGTGTGCAAGGCAGCTGCAAGGAAGCCGGCTGCACAGATCTCCTGGACCCCAGAGAGTGATTGTGTCACTGAGCAAGAGCCTTACTGGGGTGATGGCACAGTGACTGTCCAGAGTACATGCCGCTGGGGGGCCACCATGTGATTGCTGTGCCCTGCTCTGTCTCCCACTTGACTGGCAGCAAAAGTCTGTCCATAGAGCTGGATAAAGGTAAGTGCCTGTTTCTTTCATGAACTTGATGCTCAGTCTTTTTCTTTATAGATGATTGTGAATAACCAAGCAGAAGGTAAGAAAACTTATGCTTCTAATTCAGAGATAGTCTCTAAAACTTAACTGAGTAATGCATTAGTATACTAGAGAAATCATATTCCTTTATTAGATAGAAGGAATTAGTTTAATAACTCCTTACTAATATATTCTCCTAATATATTTTATTCTGGCACTGTAAAAGTACTTTGAGATTAATTATTGGTTGTTGCTGTTTAGCCACTCAGTTGTGTCCGACTCTTTGTAACCCATGGACTGCAGAACTCCAGGCTTCCCTGTCCTTCACCATCTCCCTGAGTTTATGCAAATTCATGTCCATTGAGTCAGTGATGCCATCCAACCATCTCATCCTCGGTCATCCCCTTTTCCTCCTGCCCTCAATCTTTCCCAGCATTAGGGTCTTTTCCAATGAGTCAGCTCTTGGCATCAAGTGATCAAAATATTGGAGCTTCAGATTCAGCATCAGTCCTTCCAGTGAGTATTCAGGGTTGATTTGCTTTAGGATTAACTGGTTTGATCTCCTTGCTGTCCAAGGGACTCTCAAGAGTGTTCTCCAGCACCACAGTTACGCTCAGCTTTCTTTATGGTCCAACTCTCATATCCATACATGACTACTGGAAAAACCATAGCTTTGATTATATGGAATTTTGTGGGCAAAGTGATGTCTCAGCTTTTTTATATGCTATCTAGGTTCATTGTAACTTTTCTTCCAAGAAGCAAGAGTCTTTTAATTTCATGGCTGCAGTCACCATCTATGGTGATTTTGGAACCCAAGAAAACAAATTTTGTCACTGTTTCCATTTTTTCCCCATCAATTTGCCATGAAGTGATGGGGCCGGATGCCGTGATCTTCATTTTTTGAATGTTGGGTTTTAAGCCAGTTTTTTTCACTATTCTCTTTCACCTTCATCAAGAGGATCTTTAGTTCCTCTTTGCTTTCTGCCATTAGGGTGTTGCTATTTGCATATCTGAGGTTATTGCTATTTCTCCCAGCAATCTTGATTCCAACTTGAGCTTCATCCAGCCCAGCATTTTGCATTATGTACTCTGCATAGAAGTTAAATAAGTAGGGTGACAAAATACAGCCTTGACATACTCCTTTCACAATTTTGAACCAGTTCCTTGTTTCATATCTGATTCTAACTGTTGCTTTTTGACCTGCTACAAGTTTCTCAGGAGGCAGGTAAGGTGGTCTTAAATTCCCATCTCTTTAAGAGTTTTTCAGTTTGTTGTGATCCACACAGTCAAAGGCTTTAGTGTAGTCAATGAAGCAGAAGTAAATGTTTCTTTGAAATTCTATTGCTTTTTCTAAGACCCAACTGGTATTGACTCTGGTTCAGCCACCTTTTCTAAATGCATCTAGTAGATCTGAAAGTTCTCAGTTCACCTATTGTTTAAGCCTGTCTTGAAGGATTTTGAGCAGTACCTTGCTAGCATGTGAAATGAGTGTAACTCTATGGTAGTTTGAATATTCTTTGGCATTGCCTTTCTTCGGGATTGGAATGAAAACTGACCTTTTCCAGTCCTTGTGGCCACTACTGAGGTTTCCAAATTTGCTGGAATATTGAGTGCAGTACTTTAACAGCATCATCTTTTAGGACTTGAAATAGTTCAACTGGAATTCCATCACCTCCACTAGCTTTCTTCATAGTGATGCTTCCTAAGGCCCACTTGACTTCACATTCCAGGATGTCTGGCTTTAGGCGAGTGAGCACACCATTGTGTTTATCTGGGTCATGAAGATCTTTTTGTATAGCTCTTCTGTGTGTTTTTGCCACCTCTTCTTAATCTCTTATGCTTCTGTTAGGTCCATACCTTTTATTGATTCAAAATATCAATACTTATAAATCATTTAACAATACTTACTCAGTAGATAGTCAAGAACAATAATAACTTCTTTCCTGATATTTCCATTTTTTATAGTACTCACCCCTTTACTGCTACTCTGAGTTACAGAGATTTCCTTCTCCCTTGCTGTCTGAAACCAATTCATTGACAAAACATTTTTTCAATGTTATTATGTATTTAAAGCTGGTGATACAAAGATGAAAAGACAAAATTCATGCTTTATTATTTTTCCAGGGAACATAATCTGTTGATTAGGAGCAATGTCTTTGGTAACACATGCCTCTCATTTACCAAATGTGTAACTTTGAACAGTAAGTTCTGTGTCTCAAGATTTTGTTTTTAACTGATATATAACATTGTATTAGCTTCAGATGTACAACACAATATTTGATGCTTGTTTTTGTGAAATTATCATCAAAATAGATCTAGTTAATGTCTCATGGTTTCTTCATCTGTTAAATAAGATAAAAGTACCCACATCACAGAGTTATTATGTCAATCAAGTAAAATCATATATGTATTTAACATGGTGCCTAGCACAAAGTCAGTACTCAATAAATATTAGCTGCTGTACTTATTATATGAAAGACTATTGGCTATTATATTAACTATATCAATACATTAGATATTATACTCTTTATAATAACATTATTAAAAATAATATCTATTAATTATTCATCATAACATCTCTTATATTGATCTGTGTTTCTGCAACAGCTTTATATAGCATATAGTTCACCCATTTAAGGTGCATTATTCAATGGTCTTTGAACATAGTTGTATAGCCATCACTAAATCAATTTTAGAACATATTCATCACTTCAAAACAAAACGCTTTACCTCCTTAATTCCAATATTCCTCTAGTTTTAGGCAATCACTTAATCTACTTTCTGTCACAATAGGTTTTCCTATTTTGGACATTTCATATAAATGGAACTATAATGAGGCCTTTGTGATTGGTTTCTTTTACTTAGCATATTTTTTCAAGAATTATCCATGCTGGGGTTTCCCTGGTGGTAAAGTGGTTAAGAATCCAACTGCTAACGCAGGGGACACTGGTTGGATCCCTGGTCCAGAAACTAAGATCCCACATGCCTCAGGGCAACTAAGCCTGTATAGTACAACTACTGAGCCCCATGCATCGTAACTACTGAAGCCTTCACACCCTAGAGACTCTGCCTCGCAAGAAGAGAAACCAATTCAATGAGAAGTCTGTACACCACTAGAGAGTAGCCCCCACTTGCAGCAACTAGATAAAGCCTCCATGCAACAACAACAACAAAAAGAATCACCCATGTTGTAGCATGTATCAATACATTCACTTCTTTTTTACATGTATTTATATTATTTATTTTAAATTAGGTTTTTAAAATGACACAAATAATATATACTTTTCTGATAATTTGTAGAACAAATTAAATACAGATAAGAAAACAGCCTGCATTTACCCTTCTGGATTTTAATATACAAATAGCCCATTATTCAGTGTAGAAAAATCAGGAAATATAGACAAGAAAGAAAATAAACAAACACAATCCCAGCCCAAAATAACCATGGTTAACTTTTTGGTGCATATCCTTTCATAAGTATATTTACACACACACACACACACACACACACACACATATATATGTCCACATATAGATAAATATGGGCTTCCCTGGTAGCTCAGACAGTAAAGAATCTGCCTGCCTGCAATATGGGAGACCTAGGTTCAATCCCTGGGTTGAGAAGATCCCCTGGAGGAGGGCATGGCAACCCACTCCAATATTCTTGCCTGCCTGGAGAATTCCATGGACAGAGGATTCTTGGCAGGCTACAGTCATGGGGTCTCAAAAGAGTTGGAAATGATTTGGTGGCCAAACAACAACAACAAACACATCTATATATTTCCCTCAAACCCCAGCAATTAACTTTGTGTGGGAACTGAGATTATAGGTTCTAATGGACAATACTACTCCATGAGTTGATCTGTTGGACTAATTCCTACTAACTCAGGTATTAACACAGCTTTTAATTAATTGTTCCATTAATGTTTTATAGCTTCTACTCATTCTAGCAGTGCAATAAAATATATAGATAATATTTATATGAGTACATGCACTTCTAATCTTTATTTTCCAGTATCCATCAGATGAACAGAGAAGCCTGGAGCGCTGCAGTTCATGGGGTTGCAAAGAGTTCGACACAACTTAGTGACTGAACAGCACCAGCAACAATCCATCTCCCACCAACTCTAGGCTCTTATTTTATACTTATTGATTCTAGACTGAATTATTTATTTCCAGGCCCACCTGACCTTCTCTTCTGTAAACCAAACATTCAACCTGTACTCTATTTTCCTCTTCCATGTCCTCAGAAGCTTGGCTTCATTAATTATCCTTGCTATCCTTTGTTCAGTCTTTTCTGTTTCATAAATCCTCTCCCTAAGACTGATTATATAAACATGCCTGTTTTCCTTTCATACTTAAAACAAGATGCTATGAATTCCTCAAGCTCTTAGCTCTTGTCTTTTACTCATATCCAATATTTGAAAAAGAGGATTCTAAACAAGGTATTGATTTCTGAAATATACAAACTGCTCATACAGCCTAATATCAAAAGAACAAACAACCCAATTGAAAAGTGAGCAGAAGACCTAAATAGACATTTCTCCAAAGGAGACATACAGATGACCGACAGGCACATGAAAAGACACTCAACATTGCTAATTATTAGAGAAATGCAAATTAAAACTACAATGAGGTATTACCTCACAACAGTCAGAATGGCCATTATCAAAAAATCTGCAAATAATAAACACTGGAGAGGGTATGGAGGAAAGGGAACCCTCCTACACTGCTGGTGGAAATGTAAATTGGTACAGCCACTAAGAACAGTGTGGAGATTCATTAAAAAATCACAGTCCCACTCCTAGGTATATATCTGGAAACAATGGAAACTCTATTATCTTTGAAAAGATATACATACCCCTGTCAGGAAGCATTTAACAGGAGGCTTCCTGTGTGCTGTTTTGGATCTGTCAGGAATCCTCTGGTCCTTATTAATTCCTGAGTATTCAGGAATTAAGAGGAGAGGCACGCCTTTCCTGGGGCTGAGGAATCCAGGCATTTCCTTCATTAGTTTCTCATTATGGTGATAAGTACCC